GAGAGAGAGAGAGAGAGAGAGAGAGAGAGAGAGAGAGAGAGAGAGAAAGGAAGGGGGAGCATAAGGGATGGAGGAGGTAAGGGGAGAGGGTGAGAGAAAAAGGGAGGAGAAGTGGGAGGGAGAGAGGGAGAGAAATGAATGAGAATAAATTGGTGTGTGTGTAGGCTCAGCTGTAAACCCCTCCCTTTAGGAGATGCCCTGGTAGACTTCAGCCTGGTTTCTGCAGGAGGTGAGCACGGGCCTCACTGAAACCCCCCAGGGATGGGCCTGACAGAGGGCTAGAGATACGAGGCCACAGAACCCCACTCAGGGCTCCTAGGGCCTATTCCCTAGGATAGGGATCCTGGCTGTTACAAAGTACTCAGAGAGGAATGCGCAGACTCCAGGCTATGGCCGGGGAAGACATCCAGTGAAGTTTTGCCTGAGATGAGTTCTCGTCCTGGGGTGCGGAAAGGGAGGGACCGGGCAGGATGGCTGTGAACTCTGGGAGGGATGGATAGCTGCTGCACGCAGAAGCCACAGACAGCACACGCAGAGAAGAGAGGTGACACAGTGGCAGGGAGAGGCCAGGCAGAGCCGGGAAAGCTTGGGACTGCTTCTGATAACAGATTCAGAGCGAGAAGAGGGGGGGTCAGGAAACTCAGGGACCAAGCATCCTGCCTAGGGATCCAGTTACACTTGTGGGCAAAGCCTGCAAGAGATGGGACTGGGAGCTTGGCCCTGAGGGAATGTGCCATGCTTGCCCAGGAGATGGTCGATGAGGCCATCAGATCCAAGCCTGAAAGGCCTGTGAGCAGTTTCTTGCCAGCAGACGTGTAGAGAAATTATAGAGAGCCTCTGTGGTGGGCAACGACAGCATGGCTGGCCAGCCTTCCACCATACTGTTCCCACAACCAACCCCAGGCACTGTGCTTTCCTTGCCTGACATCTGGGTCAACCTCAGACTCTGGTCTCAGGTCATGCTCTCTCCTCTGTTAGAATCACACATGCTGCTGAGAGGGAAGAAGCAGAAAAGTTGGACGGGCGGGAACACTGAAGAAGACTCAGTCATTGACAGACACAGCCTGGGCACAAGGTTGACCACGGCGGTCAACAGGACCACCTACATCTATAGCTTATCCCCTCACTCACTGGGAATAGTCTCAATACCTGGCACAGTCCCCAGGGTACCTGGATGCTGGAAGAGAGGGGAAGAGAGCCCTGCCTCTGTCTTCATGGCCAGGCTGCAGGCTCTCTCTATGGCCAGAACACTCAGACATCCAGAGCTGTGGACAGAGCCTTCAGTCTTCCACAGACACCTTTGGGGGACATAGGCCCAAAGTTAAGAGTCCTTGGATGAACTCAAAGAATCATCATCACTTGCCTTAACTGGATCAGACAAAGGAAGAAGCCCCATCCTCACCACTGAGCCCAGACACCAGAGTTCCAAAGTGGAGAGGCTGGACCTTTGCCTCATAGCATGGTGGACGTTGCGTGCCCATAGATTCCTCACTGGCATCAATACCTTCCCCTAGGTACCACAGTTCCAGGCATCACACCCCACTCAGAGCCTCAGAGGCTGTAAAGGGAGGCTCTGGTCTTTGTTCAGTGCTCCTGCTTGGCAGAAGGAAGTCATCCCTAGAGCAGACCACTATGGTCTGTCTGACTATCAGGCTCCCACGACTGCCATTCCTGCGGAGAGTGTTGGTCGCTCGGGCACCTCACCTTCTGTCTCAGTTGGATCCGAGCATGCTGGCGACCCCCTCCATGCAAAAGGCCTACGTTTGCCTCCCGGTTTCTTCAGAAGCTCCCCCCACCCCCGTTCTCAGGCTCTGTCAGCTAACCACTGAACCTAGGTCTCCTTCCGGTTGCTTCTCCGGCATCCCTTCTCACACACTGGTTTTAAGCCTAGGATAAGCGACTCAAAGATCAGTGAGGGCCCCACAGCCCAAGGCCAGGTCTCGGCCCCTTGGATTTAACCCTTCTTAGCCCGATCGCGGCTAGCTATTTGCATCGAGAAGGAATCGTCGTGCTGCTGTCCTCAGGACCTACATGTTATGCGGTGCTGGCATGAGCTTAATAGTTTGCTAGACTGCCACACGGACCACCCCGGATGTCCAGTCAGGCCTTGCCGTCCATGTCCTCAGCATATGGCACAGGCACAATCTATTCACTGAACTGAGGCAAGGGTGACCGGGAAACCTGGGCAGTGAAGCCAAGCACTACAAGGAAGCTCCAAAGTTCTATCCGTGGCTGTGGGGAGGGTAGTCAGAGTCGATATGGGTGTGTGTGGGGGGGTCCTGCCTGGTGAGCCCTGTGGGGCCTCGGGGTGTGGTGTTTTGTGGAACGTGTCATCTAGGTCAAAGTGACGCTCCTGAGGCTGGGGAAGTCATGGGAGGCTGAGATCTTACAGGGTGCCAGCATGACTTTTACAACTTGGCAGAAGTGCCCCTGAAGCCTTGTGGCATCAGTACACTCACCACACTCCAGAGCACACTCCCGTGAGCACAGAACGAGGGGCATGCTCACCCCATCTCACGGAACCGCTAAAGAATCCATGTGGCTGGGCGAGGCTGAGGACCGGTTCTGGGCGAAGCCTCTCTTGGCTCGCACGAGTCCATCTGCTTCCCAGGAACAAACAGTAGGAACCCAGGCTTTACTCACCGTCTGGTTATCCTCATAGAGCTTCAGGTCATAGCCACTGAGCTCCACACAGAAGATGATGGCAGTGACGCCCTCAAAGCAGTGGATCCACTTTTTGCGCTCTGACCTCTGGCCGCCCACGTCCACCATCTTGAACGTGAGCTCCTTGAAGGTGAACTTGTTTTCCACGATGCCCGTGGTCATGTCCCGAGAGCGTAGGATGTCCTCCACCGTGGGGATGTAGTCGGGTGCTGCGATGCGCTCCAGGTCATTCAGGTAGTAGGCTGCGTTGTCCTCCAAGTGGTACTCACTCGAGCGGCCGAAGCAGGCCTGAGCCCCAGGGTCGGCCCACAGCCGGCGCATGACGCCCAGCAGCTCGGGTGTGATCTCACCCTTGCTCTCTGCCGGGCCAGTCAGTGCAAACAGCTGCACGGCATCGTAGGCACGGTCCGGGTTGTGGAAATCGATCTTCAGGGCAGCGAGGGCCCGAATGATACGGGTCAGTGAGTCGATGGCATTGTAGATGATGAGGGGCTTGTACTCCTTGCAGGCCTCCAGGTTGAAGCCGCCACTGTGGATGATCTTCATCTGCTTGACGATGGTGCTCTTGCCCGAGTTGCTGGTGCCCAGCAGGAGGAGTTTGATTTCACGGCGCTGCCGCTGACTTTCTGAGCGCAGGTGGCGGTCAATTCTCCGGGACCGCCGCGCTGCCTCTTTTTCCTCTGAGCTTTGCCGACATCCCATGGTCTGGTCTGACAGCAGCAGGGCCCCCCCGAAACAGAGCACAGGATGGGTGCCTCTCCCCCTTTTGCCAACAAACAGAATGGTCACAGTGAGGGATGGTGAAATGTGGGCTGGTGTGACAGGCAGACAAGAGAAACAGCTGACCCAGGAGTACTCAGCACCGGTTCTGGGGCAAGGCCGTGTCACACTGCAATCCCTGCCCCAGCACCTCTTCTCCTGTGGGCATGGCGCTCAGTGCAGCGGGGCAGAGACCACACCCTCCCCTCTAGTGACACTCCACCTCCCTTGTCAGCACTGTGGCCTGATTTGCCGTAGTCATTCCCCGTATTTGCCACGGTAGGAAGCTGTCCGCTTGCGTCTGCCTAGGCAGTGTCTGCTCAGGCTACTGCTGTCTGGTCGCTGGTTGCTGTGGCGATGCTTCTAAGCACGGCTGGAGGGCCCAGCGTTCCCTGAGGCCCCCCTGCCTCGGGCTGCTCCGGCTCCCTGCCTTGCATCCGGCCCTTCACCTAACGAGAAAGAGAACAGCATGAGCTATCTCCTGGGCACACCTCAGGCTGGATGGGGAAAGGGATCAGCCACCGGGCCTCAGCAAACAGCAGAACAGTTCAATTCCCAGCCCCTTCGGTGCTTCAGGGCTAGTGCCCAACCCACAGCAAAACAAATACGTTTGGCCGATGCCTTCCACTCCGCTGCTCTGATTGACGCCAGGTGCAGGTCGGACAGGAGCTAGCCGTGCAGAGCTCTTACCTGCAGCCCCCATGCTAGATTCACTTCTGCCACACCTTCCTGCCTCTCAGGCCTGGCTGACCTGTCCCCTCTGAGTCTGTGTGTCTGACTTGGGCTCCACAGTATGCCCCCCCCCCCCCGCCCCGTGGCTGTCCACCATCCCAGGACACAGAGGGAGCTCATCCCCACTCTGCAGTGTAGTCCTGGCCGTGTCCCAGCCTTAAGGAAGTCAGGGGAAACTGGGGATCTCCCACCTTTCATCCCGTCAGACCCAGGGCCATCTCTGTGGTAGGGCCAGATGCATAGAGTGTGTGGAGTCCCGCTGTCCCTTCCAGGCGGGGAGGGATCAGCAGGTGGGGGTACCACAGGATCCTGGGTGTGCAATAGCTAGGCAGAGGTTTTGAGGAGCGGCCAAGGCCTGCCAATCAGGGCAATATGGTGATAATCTGTCTAGGGAGGCAGGAGAGGACAGGGAGGCTCTCAGAGAACTGGACATCGCCGAGTCCAGGCGTGGATGCTCTGTTTACACCCTATCCAGGTTCAGGGTGAACCTTTCACAGATCCTATCTGGGCTAGGGTGCTAATGAGGAACAGCTGGACTCACAGCTGGAGCCAGTAACACCTGTTGACCACCAGGGGGAAGGTTACCTACGTGATTCCTCGGTAACAACCTGCTGGATGGCTGGGGCAGGTCTCCTCCAGCAGGGGGCTCAGTTCTGCCTCTGACTGGGAGCCCAGGGTGGCCCTCTGCCATGACACAGCTCTTGCTTTCTTTCCTCTGATCTGTCTTTGTTTGGCTATGATGCCGCAGATACTTTATAACCGATCAAATGTCCCCTTCCCTGATAGCAGGCTCTGAGGTAGAAGACCCAAGGCAGACGGAGTTCCTAATCTAGGCAAGGGCCTCTCTCTGCTTCCACTCTTATGTGTGAGCAGCATGAGACCCAAGCTCCCCAACCACCCACACACTCCTTACCCATCTGACTTGGACCCTTGGGAAATGGCAGCCCATCCCCCACGCTGTGCCTCTCTCTGTCCTACCCACACTAGACCCACGGCTCTGACTTTCTCCAGTGGCTGTGGCCTTTAGTCTTCAGGGTGTGAATCTCTTCACACGGCTTTTGGCCAGGTACCCTGCTGTCTCTCAGCACCTCGGGTAATTCACTCCACATCTCTGAGCTTGCCCCTCCTGCTCACTGATATATGGGAGGGGGAGAGCATCTAGCACAGACAGACCCTGGTACTCTGCAAGTACCAGCCAGTAGCAGTCACCACCCAACTGTTCTAGTCACCAGGGACATCGTCACGGGACCTTTACCTCCTCAGCCAGACTCCGGTATTCCCCTGCCCTCTCCTCATTTCTGCCTCCACAGCTGGCCTCAGCTGCAGTGTGACAGGCAGGACCTTCCGTGCTGATGCTGCCTGCGTTCCTCCCCTGGCAAAGACTGCGAAGCCAGCAGCCTGCCCTGGCTTTAGCTCTGCCATGAGCAGGGCGGTGCTCAGTGCACAGCGCCCCCCCCCCACTGTCCTGCACAGGTGCTGGAGTAGGAGACAGGGAGGGAAGGCGAGGTGCAAGAGGTCTCCGAGTCTCTGCAGTCCCACCGCCTGAGCAGCCATGGAGTGTGCCAGAGACACTCAGGTGTAGAGCGGCTCGGAGTAACGATTAGATGTCATTCAGGCCATCTCGAGACGTCTGGGAGCGGAAACCTTGAGCCACACGTGCTCAGTGGTGGCACACAAACAGCACATGCTCACGTGGGCCCTGGAGCCACATTCCTGTGTGTCTGTGTAGGTAAAGGTCTGGGAGCCACTTTCCAGCAGTACAGAGTTCCAGGGGAGTCCCCGCCGTGCATTTTACCCATCACCTACATAAAGGGGGTTTTTAAGCAAATGTCATGGCGTCGATAAGGCCCTGTCTCTCATCACACTAGGGCTTGCCTGAGCCTCTCTCTTCATGGTCTGTGAGCAGGCAGAGGTCAATGCGGACAGCTCCTGGTCCACACGGATGACCCCAGGGTACAAAGGTGTGTACCATCTTTAGCCTGCTGTGTGTGTGTGTATGTCTTTCCAGGAAGATGTCTTTCTAGCAGATGCTGGGGGAGGCACTGGGGGGAGCACTAAAGGGGAGCACTGAGGGAAGCCATGGGGGGAGCTCTGGAGCCAACACAATTTCATGCCATTTCAGCATGATGGACAACACCCTCCTTCCTGAGGTCTGGCTGAGGGCGTTTCTTGTTAACATCATATTCTTTGGTATTTTCAAAGTCAAAGGAATAGCCAGGCCTCACCAGCCAGCTCTCCTTTAATCTGGATGGCGTTAGTGGCAATGGTCAGCCGGAAAATGTGGAGCTGCTAAATGAGCCTCCCAAACTGCTGCCAAGACAAACAGGATCCTCGGGACAAGTTACAGCTACGATACTATCAGCACAGTCTAGTCAAGATAGGTGACCCCTACTCTAGGTAGGGGACCCCAGAGTTACGGTTCCTGAGGGATGGTAGGCCAGCCCCCTTCCTTGGTCCAGAGTCGTATCTGAACAGAGAGCCTGTCTGCTTCCTGGCGGTGGACACCTACCTGGCCCTGCCCCTCCCACAGTGTGGCCCTGGGGAGCCTGTCAGGCCCTGCTTGCTCTCCTTGGCTACTCCTGCTGTAGGTGTCTCTTGCTGGATGTCTGCCTGCTCTTTGTAGGTCAGCTCACACGTGTGAGGTACCTCCCCGCCACGCTGCTGCTACTTCTGCACTCTGGCTGCTCTGCAGTGTCTCCCGCCAGGCACAGGTCTCCCTACGGCTGATGAAGCTGTGGTGCGAGAGAAAGATGGACAGCTAGTGAACTGAGAGGAGAGAGTGGCTGTGAGCAGGCGGGGCACCGAAGCTGGGCACAGTCTTGCCCTAACTGTCCATCCTGTTCCTGCCTCGGTGACCCCTCCGCAGCACTAGATCTTGAGAATGAAGGGAAGCAGCCTGGCCTTTGGTCTCAAGTGGCGGGCGAAGAAGTTTCTCCGTTTATGGACATGTGATCTGAATTTCAGGAAATGTGTTTCATCACCACGAGGCTGCGGGGGACCTGGGAGAGCATGGTGGGGGGCAGTGGGCTGCCATCCGGGAGCCCTATCTGTTGCTGTCTAGAAACCCAGAGCCAAAGACTGGTCAGCTGGTCCTTGATAAGTGGACATTGGTTGCTAGGGAGCAAATAAGGGAATAAAGGGGAAACTGTGGTCAGGCAGTGAGTTTGTGTCATGGGAACTACATGGGCAAGCAACTGTCAGAGTGAGGGCACGGTGGGGTTATCCTCTGCTAGATCACCAGCCTTGTGTGAGGGTGTGAGATCTTGGAGTTACGGACAGTTGTTAACTGCCATGTGGATGCTAGGAACTGAACCTCTGGAAGAGCAGTCAGTGCTCTTAACTGCTGAGCCATCTCTCCAGCCCCCCCTCCCACCCCGGCCAGAATTCTTTTAGCACCATTGTGGGGTCTGGTCATACTTGGGAAGTGCCAGAGCAGTGGAGCTGGGGGAAGATGACGGATGCAGAAGTCTGGCTTTTCTCTAAACGGAACCTCAGCCAGTCCTACCTGCCGAGGCCAGGCTCCTGTCGGCTTTCTCTGAGTCTACCTGGGTTTTAGTGGGTCTTGAGGGACTCCTCAAATCTCAGAATGCAGCTTGATGTCATCAGGCCAGAGGTAGAGGCTCAGCGGGTGGCCACATATTTTGATGTTTCCTGGCCCAGAAACAGCTCATGGGTTCCCGGGGTGATACCCAGGATCTACCAGCACAGTCTCCTTGGGTATGGACAAAAATAACAAAAGAACTAGACAGAGGAGAGAGGCTTGTACAAAGGTTTGGAATGCGTGGGTGTGGGCAGGAGAGATGAGCCACGGTCGTTGTGGAACTGAAGGGAGGTCACAGGGCCTCAGCAGAGACGAGAAAAGGACAAGGGGAGGGGGAGGGGCATGGTAGAAGAGACGCCGAGCTGGGCTCCTGGTTTTCCTTCGTCCAAGAGAAATAAGAAAATGGTCTGAAGCTATGTGTGCAGATGTGTGTTTGTGATAGTGACATGTATGCGCTTATGTGCATGTGTATGCTTGTGTGTGTGCTCCTGCTTAAATATTATCGGCGCAGCTGTTCCACGGGATGGGGTGAATGTGTCTGTGTGCAGTTCTACACGGCATCCTGGTACCCTAAAAGCGAGGTGGCCATGGGCAAGAGGGACCAAGTGTGATGCAATGGAGAACGGGGCTGGGAAAACCAGCCAGTGCATTACCTCACACCTACTTATGAAGCTATGGCTTTGAGCTTTGGAGTTTGGGGTTGTCTGCATTGGACAAGGTGAAGACCGAGTTCCTAAACTTGTTCTGGTAAAGACAACAGAAGTCAGACCGCATACAGGGCAGAAACAGTAGCAAGTGACAAGGTGCCAAACTTTCTTGTAAAAACGGAGCTCCCATTAGGAGGGGAAGGTCAAAGGTGGAGTTCATAGGCAGCAAGCCTGCAAAAGTGGGCTGGCCGCCTAGCAGGTGACAAATGTCTGCAAGCAAGTGGCTGAGGATGCACATAGGTGGGCATCTGAGGATGCGGGAGATGCTGGTGAAAAGGCTGAGGTACCCGTGAGAGGGCTGGCAGGACAGCTGGAGTGATGGTCCGACGGCAAATCAAAAGCCAACTAGGGTTTGGATGATGCCACTCAGTTAGAATAGACAGGGGAAAAGCTCCTCTATCTAGATTCCAGGCGACAGGGCCATGATGTGGAGGAGGGCTAAGTGGCAGGTGGTTCCGTAAGACAAAAGCTGCATGGCAGTGATGGAGTGGAGGGAGGAGGGAGGAGATGGGGCATCCTAAGGGCTGTCCAGAAAAGCTGAGGGGCAGGGCCACTATTGGAGAGGAGATGCTGAGAGAAAGCAACAGGCATTTGGGGGTGGGCAGTCAACTCTCCTTGGAGTTTGGGACCTCTGTACAGACGCGTGGACTGTATCAGTCAGTATCAGCAAGCCCATCCCAGCCCTCCATCAGATGCATGCAGCCAGAGACAAGTCCATCCCAGCCCATCAGATGCATGCAGCCAGAGGCAAGACCATCCCAGCCCACCAGATGCATGCAGCCAGAGACAAGTCCATCCCAGCCCATCAGATGCATGCAGCCAGAG